TCTATTTAAGAAAACTATTTGACATCTATTTGAAATAATTTTAGATCATAATATACACTAATGTAAGGATGATCCTAATACATGAAAATTTTGCTACTAGAGAATGAGTCTCTACATAATTTATGCCCTCCCTTAGGTGAATTCTTTTGCTACTAACCTAGCTTTATATTTATCAATGGATCTATTTGCATTAAACTTTTTCTTTAAGACCCATTTGCAGCCAATGACTTTTCTATATTTAGGGAGGTCAACCAACTCTCAAATATGATTTCTTTTAGTAGAATCTAGTTCATCATCCATGGCTTGAGTCCACTCAGCTGAGTCATCTGAGTTAATAGCTTCAATATAGCTTTGAGGTTCATTTATTGAATCCTCACTCATTGAAGAATAATTATCTTCATTCATAAATATATAAAATTCTTCTAAAGTCGTAGGTAGGGCTCTAGTTCTTTTAGGCCTATATGGTATACTTGATTCAATTGAATCATTCTCACCAATTGTAAGTTAATAGGTTTACTTAAATTATGTTCATCATCTATATTTTCTAAGAAATGAGCATCACGACTCTCTACTAAGGATCTAGTCTCATGGTTATAGAATCTATAGCTCTTAGAATTGTTTAAATAACCTATAAATGAGTATTTTATAGTTTTAGTTTGTAATTTGTCTTTATTTTATTGTGGTATAAGTACATGTGCCCAAAAACCCCAAACTTTCAAGATAGTAAGGTTAAGAATGGACATTAGATCACTAGATCGGAAATCAAAATTTCATGAGGACCCAAGTAAAGTGATCTTGTGTGCCTGCTCAATACCCATACAGTAGTTCTTGTATACATTCAAGGGGTTGCAATAGTACGTATGCCTCTGTGATAAGATACACATTCCAAAGGAAACATTCCACATCTAATGGTGTGACGCTTGATTATTGAGGGAACTGTTTGAACCTTAAAGTTCGTCCTTCATGTGCACCATGCTAACCTCCCTTACAATGGTTGCAATGTGCAGCTCAAGGGAATCTCAAGATTTACCTCAAAGATGATACTTGCATGCTAACACAAATCAATGGTCTCAAAGGAAGTATGATGTACCTCAAGGCAGTAAGCACAAGGTCATCCATGTCAAAATGGAAGGCAATAACCCTTTGGTGCTCCCTCAAGTGGATCCAAATGCTAAGTTAATACCACTCGATTACTGTACCCTACAAGAACTACATCATGTTGGGCTGATGGCCTCTGCTTCAATCTTGTTTATATTGATTTTCACTATCATCTGGAGATGCTATCCATTCAAGCCACAAAAGGTACCACAGGTTCATCAATGTGCCAACCATCAAATGTAAGAAGTACTCTACCAAGTAAGGTTCACAAATAAATGCATACATTAGCCAACTAAGTAGGCTCCTCATGTCAATGGGTAGAGGCACTAAGTAGATGCCTCATGTCAATGAGGAGGAACTAAAATTATCATAAGGAAATTACTATAAGATGAAGATGCAAAATAGAACCACGAGGCACTTCTTCAAGATTTGCAGGATGTAAGCATCACCCGACCACTTGCTATAACGTTGAACTAGTTTAAAAAGCAGAAATGCTACACAAATAGGCTACAAGAACAAGATATGGTAGATGATGATCATTATGCTGATCTCTCGATTGTCAATACTACCATCAACCTAAATTATTATCAAACAAAATAAGTATCCATGAGATAACAGTTTGTTCACACAACTTATCACGGAGTATAAAGTATAAACAATCAAAATTCCATTAGAGACTTCAGACAGAGAACATTGTAAAACCTGCAATGAAATACACATCATTCATGCTTTCCCACTGAGTTTTCACTATTCTTATGAAGAATCACTGAGAAAAAAAGGAGACAAATTATGCAAATACATCTTATAGTGAAGTTTACAGCTATATGAAGACCAATAAATCGGTACGAATAATCCTGGTTAAATTTCAGAATACATTGAATATTTGAGGTCGAATATCAATTTTACCAATAAATTAAAAGAAAATTTTCAAGCTTAGGAAGCTAATATTTCCCTTATGTACATGTTATTCTTAAACAAAGCTTGGAAAGCACTCCAAGCATTCCGAGCAAAATGTTGATGTCAAATGCTTCCTAATGGTACATACGTTTATTCTATAAATAACTAAACACGATTTAAGGAATCTTACCTGATACAATAGGTAGTAACTGTAAAATGAAATAAAATATAGGCAGGATAAATGCACCCATAACCTATTGGAACCTCTTCCAATGTTGGACATGGTAAATGAATCCATGGAATGAGATAATGTTTTTGTTGGTTCATGTATAATTGATAGGGAAAAGTACCAATAATCCAATGGCTAAGCAAGCTGTAAAAAGCTTGATGCCAAGTTTGAAAAGTCAAAGAATGATGAGAGCATCAAGGCTGCAGGTATCGTGATGGACCCACCAAACTCCCAAGAATTGATGACAGTGTTGTCAGACTAGGAATAGCAGAGATCAGGCTTTATCAGAACAATAAGAACTTTGTGATTTTTTGTATATCTCTCAATGACTATGAAACCCTTCTTAAAGTGGGATGGGAGGTGGCCGTTTTTCAATGTTCAGCTTCCTCCTCAAATCTCTGAGAAACGTAGCTCTCTAATCCTAGGAGGTGGGTAGTTATTTTCTATATGTTGGATAATGACATATTCTCTCTCTAAGAAGCCTTTAAAGTAATAAATGTGAAAAACATTTAGATAACTAATAAGAGAAAAATATGGGATATGTAAGGCCCCATGGTCACTCACACGTACAACAGTTTTGAGCTTGAAGTTCCAAAGAACCATTTCAACAACAGAAAAATATGGTGGGGAAACTTGAAGGTATGAACCGATCATTTCAATAAAATTAAGAATGTGTCATATCAACAGTTTTGAGTTGAAGTTTGAAAGAACCATTTCAACAACAGAAAATTATGGTGGGGAAACTTGAAGTTATGAACCCATCATTTCAATAAAATTAAGAATATGTGTCGTGAATTCTACCATTTCACCAAAAATAATATACTAGTTTTGGGTAAGGAACTTGGAGTTCTCAACCTCGCGAAGAAATCAAAAAAGGCGAGAGTGAAAGAGGGATAAGCGTGTGAGTAATGAGTTTGGGGAGCTTTGATCTTCAGACCTAGAGATTCTAGGGGGTGTCTTTGTAGAGACTTGCTAATTATGATCTAAACTTACTCTTAATAGCGTGTTTGACAACAAGAAATTAAAATGTTCCCAGTATGTAACTGATTGTTTTGAGTGCTTGACATCAAGTTCCGTGACAATCTATCCGAATTAGAGGGCTTATTGGTTGTTTGCATGATAAGATATTAGAGAGCTTGTTGGTTGTCTGCATGATAAGAATATGGATGCACAATCATTTGATAGTTTGGGTTCTTGTTGGAATCAGTATACTTCATTCCAATCTGCTGTAATTTTGATTAGCTCGATTCACTGTGAGATTGCTACATTAGCATCACCCTAGTTCATGCAAACCTTAAACTTTGTTATATTGTTTTTATTATGAAAACAATCCGATAAAAAATTGAAAAAATTGAATTAGAGCTCCAAAGAATGCTCAACCCTGAAACTCAATTTTGGACAAATGCAAAAGATTTAAATCTTTTGGAGCTCCAAATGAAATATTATTTAGAGGAGCCACTCCAAAAATAGTTTATTTGAAAAAGAGGATTAGAAAAAAAAAAGACTTACTTGGTTCAGATTTTCAGATTAGCTTGGGTAATCAGTCAAAAAAGTAGTTTTGATTAGCTTGGGTAATTTATATCTTCCTGTATCTCTCTCCTCTATCTCTTCTCCTACTTGCTCTAACCGCAGGTGAGATCTTGGGTCTCTTCTTATATGAGATATTTCCCTCTTCTGATACTTATCTATTTCTATGTTCTCTAGTCTATTCAATGCCCATTTAGCTCCTTGCTGATTGTGTATACCTGCCATATTCTGTAGACCTTTTGCTTGGGTTTTTATGAATGTGAATTTGAATTATAGACAACTAGAACTTAGAGAAACCTATGCTTGAAGAATATGCCCTTACTAATTATTTTGCTTTCTTTTATAGGATTTGATTAGATTTTTGTTATTGTGCTCTCTTTTGTTATGCTTTATTTATGGTCAATAGTACAGTGTGGTTATGTTTCTAGTTGAGCGTGTACATTTCCAACATTGTCTTTTTTTGCATCCTTGGGAACGTTTTGTGTGCTAAATGCTAAACAGTTCAACATGTTGAATTGTGGTCAATGCATTCTTATTCTTATATTTTATGTTGAATTCTATGATGGTTTTACTTTGTATAGTTTTGGCATATTCAACGCATTGAGTTTCCTTAAGCTCTATATGACAATTTTATGTGTTGTTTCTCTTTAAAGTGTCTAGACGATATTGATCTACATTCTCGTTGTTGTAGAACTTGGTTACTGGATTGTACTTCGAGCTTCCAATGATTACTAAAATTCGTTGTGGTACTTTGTCCTGGCTTTCTCTGTATTTTCTCTATTTATGTTTGAGCTGTAATGCCTTGTACTTTTTATTATTTATTTATGCTTACTATTTAGTGCCATCTAGTTTAAAGAAATCAACCTAACGAGGCTTTATTATAACTACTAAATATTACCAGAACAATTTGAACCGGTGGAACCCTATAGAGGAGGCCCAAGAACTTCTTTAACTTCCTAAGAGGTTATCAAACACAAAAACCATAAACTTCTTTAACTTCTCATGAGGTTATAAAACACAGAAACCAGGAATTTCTTACAACAACTTATATCTTCCCAGCAAGGAAGAACTTCCAATTTACAGTTCATGAACTTGCTTTCGGCTATCAAATAGGCCCCAGATATTAGCGAAGGGAGTAGATGAACAATATATGCTCTTGCAAGAGCATGGAATCTTTTTGCAAACTTTTCGAGTACGATACGAGTACGGTCAGGTTCTTCCTCACGCGAGTTAACCCGCATCTGTTGTTGCATACACAGAGTTTGGTAGGTCGGTTTCTTTCCTCTCGTTCTCTTCTGTCAGTCGCAACTCAAACAATGGAGGGGCCATCCAACCTCAAGCGCCCACGCCCGCCCGAGGAATTCTCTGATTCTCACAAAGAAGACAACCGCCCTAGGTTTGTATTCCTGAAAAACCCTAGCCCCCTCTATTAACTTCTTCCCTTTCTTTTGAATTACTGGAAATCTTCTAACTGGATTCTTCTTCTGATTTCTAGGGTTTCTATTTTTCCTCTCTCTGTGGCTCTATCTATTGTTCGTTGAGTTTTTTTGTTTCTTCATGGCATTTGCAGAGAGAGGAAGGTGCGATTTCCTAAGGGGAAGAAGGTGAAGCGGACAGATGGGACTTCTCTGGTTAAAGATGAAAGCGGAGAAAATGTGATTGGATTGACCGACCCCAGATTCGCTGCTAAAGAGAGAGCGAATCGGCGTAACCAGATAGAAGCTGAGCTTTTAAGCGATGAGAACACAGGCATTCTCGATGATATCGCTGGGGCTGAAGAGGAGTATGAGGTATGCCATGTCTCTTTCATAAATTTGGTACACGTTTTCTTTGAATGTTTGTTAACCAATTAGAGTTATGGTGAAAACACACTCAAATAGATAATACTCTCTCTCCCCTCCTTTTTGTTTTTTTAAATGCGTTCCATTTGAAATTATTGTCCATTGGAGAACTAGATAAAAGCTTTCAGCTTTTTGTTGATTTTCTTTTAATTTTTTAATCCTCTCAGGGAAGGTAGCCATTAAAGTGAAATCTAGAAGTGGGTTGAGAGCAAGATTCCCACAACAGTAGGCTTTTTCACTTGATGATCCATCATTCTGTTGTTCTCAATTTGTTAGTAGCATGTGATTTCCTCAACTCTTACATATATTTATGTGACCCATAGACATTGGCATTTCTTATTCTTGATTTGAGTTAGATAAGCTTTGTAATAGTTTTGACTTTGCTTGTGTTAGACTCTTCAAAACCTTTTATTGCTCTGGGTTAGATAGTTTTCCAAACGTGATAGCATTCCTTCTAAATTTTTTAATTTGGTTGTATATTTTTCATGTTCCCCTATCATTTTTTGTTTTGGTTCATGGTGTTAAGACTGGAACGTGGGCCAAACTGGTGAGATCACAGGTCCGGACAGGTTGTTGGTCATATCGGTTAAATAAATTCAAAAATAGAAGATATGGAAAAATAAGGAAAACTTAGGAAAAAGAGAATCATGGAAAGATCAGAAAAAGTATAGAAAAAATAGATTTTTTCTTAAATATTAGTAACAAAAAAAATATAACTTACCTAGTGTTTTTTATCAAAAGAATGCATGTAACGTACCAAATAAACAAAAACATTGCCTACAATACAATCATTAAAGCAAAAACAACCATTAACATGAGTACAAGAAACAACATAATGCATTGATTTGGAAAATAAATTAAAATATCCTTTCTTGCAAAAACCATTGACGTTACTTGGACAGTAAAAAAAGAAGTTAACAAATCATTTCTTGCAAAAACTGTTTAAGTGTTTTTTCTATTTTTTCCGAATATAAACAAATAATCAGAAAATGGTGTAATGAAGTTACTTGGAGAGTTTACATATCCAAAAAAAAAAGGGTTTCTTGGAGTTGAAATAAAGCAAAGTGATGGTTGAATCTGCTAATATTTGTTGGATTTTTGTCCAAAAAAAATAGTGTTTTTGGGTAGAGAGAGAGTGCAAAAATTGCCAAAGTATCTCTCTCTATAAAAAATAAAACCACTTTTTTTAACCCCCAATCCATCTCTAGTATGAAAAAGACTGGAATGCCCCTAAAACCATTTCATTGGAATGAAAAAAAAATCCTAAGAATGACTTTTTTTGGATAAAGAAGGGGGTCTTTGGTGTCATTGTTAGGTGCCATCGGGACCAACTGGTTCGGTGCTGAACTGGTGAACCTACCGGTCCAGACATTGAGATTGGTATGTCCATTCGTTTGGCACCGGTTCACTGGACCATTCGATCCAGGGAGTAGACCAGACATTAGGATGTTACCTATTCACTGGTTTCTGGTTCAAACTTGCCAGTCTTTTTGGGTCTTAATGTCATTGGTTTAGGTTATTTTGCTTTCTTTTTTATTTGCGTAAGTTTGGTCATCTAAGGATAGATTTCAACCAAAACCAGAACTTGCTAAGTGAATTGAATATGTTGTTCTTGACAGGATGATGGTGAATTTGAGGAAGATGGAGTTCAAATTGAACCTTTCAACTTGAAGCTAGAGAGGGAAGAAGGTTATTTTGATTCTGAAGGGAACTATGTTGAATATCGTAATGAAAATGACATTAAGGTATCTTCTCCAGTCATACAATGGTTGCTTTTAATATGGTCTTTGTCCTCCTAGAATTAATATTTTGTGGCTTTTTAATCTAGGATGCATGGCTGGATAACATTGATGTTGATGGACAATATGCGAGGAAAAAAATTCCTCAAGAGACTAAAGAAGTGGAAGAGGTTAAAAGTTTTTCATCGGCAGAGATTGCAAAGATCAAGAGGCGCATAGCTAACTTACTTCGTCCTGGAGAAACGGTAATCTTGACATACATTTTTTTGTTTTGTTTAAGATCTAATTTTTATTTTTTTGTCTGTTCTTTTGATGCACTTTTGTTTGAGATCTGATCATGCATACTTTTTGGAATATAAGAATATTCATAAGAGCTTATTTTTTCCTAATGCTTGGTGGCTTTGGTTGTATTATGTGTTTAAATATTCCCATGGATGTTCTCTTTTATAAATGATATATTTATTGGTTGGCAGAAGGATGTGTAATGTGCTTATTTAAAAGTAAAGGAAATAAAATTAAGCTGATGGTTTATGAACCGAACAGTAACACTGACCAAAAAAATAATAATTAACAAGACAGAAACTCATAAGAACAAATGAGACATACAAAATTATTCGAACTATCGAGGGATCGAACTTATGAGCCATACTATGAAGCTGTGGGAGAGAGTGATTGAGCAACAACTAATACATGAAACAAGTGTATCACAAAACCAATTCGGTTTTATGCCAGGGAGGTCAACAATTAAGGTTATTTTCCCACTTAGGTAATTGATTGAGAAATTTAGGGTGAAGGTAAAGTACCTCGAGATATAATTTGGTGGGTGTTAGAAAAGAAGGTTGTCTCCAGATACTATATCGACTAGGTGAGAGATATGTACAAGGGTGTGCTAACAAGTGTACAAATTCTAGTGGAGAGATGAGTGAGTTTTCAGTAATAATAGGTCTATATCAGGGGTCAACGTTGAGCCCATACCTCTTTGTCTTAGTTATGAATGACTTAACTAGGCATCCACAAGATGAGGTACCGTGTTGTATGTTGTTTACGGATGACATAGTTTTGATCCATGAGACCCAAAGCGTCATCAACACAAAGAACTTTGGAAAGATGCCCTCGAATCTAAAGGTTTTAAAATTAGCCGGATTAAGATAGAGTATATGAAAATAAGTTTAGTAATAATAGAGTAGAGACGAGGAAGTAGTTAAGATTGACGGCCAAGAAATACCAAAAAGAGCACACTTTCGGTATCTTGGGTCGATAATTAATAAAAATGGAGAGATTGAGGAAGATGTCGCACATAGAATTAGAGTTGGGTGGGTGAGGTGGAGATGTGCATACTGGAGTTTTATGTGATATGTTGCATACTAATGAAGCTGAAGGTATAGCTGTGAGACCAGTTTTGCTTTATGGACAAAATGTTGGAAAGTCAAGAAACAACACACCCGTAGGATGAGTGTAGCTAAGATGTGAGGATGTTGAGATGGATGAGTAGCAAGACAAGAAGGCAAAAAATTTGAAATGAATCATAGTTGTGGGAACCTTGAGGGTAAGGCCATGGTCCTACCCATACTTACCGGAATCTCTCTTGGGATCCCGTGATTCCGGTTCGGAAACCCGTTTCCACATTTCCGTTTAGGAAACTTCACGAAAACCGTTTTTTTGAACCTCAAAAACTCGATTCCTTTATCTTGGAATCTCGATTCCATACCTAGGTGGGAACCTTTTTTTACAACATAGGAAACTCGATTCCTTGATTTCGGAATCTCGATTCCTCACATATGTGGAAACCTATTTTAGGAACCAAGGAAACTCATTTCCTTACTTTCGGAATCTCGGTTCAACACTTCTTTTAGAAATATTTTTCGGAACCACAAAAACTCGATTCTTTAGTTTTGGAATCTCGAATCTTTAAATTCGGAATCTCGATTCCTTAATTTCGGAATCTCGATCCTTAATTTCGAATCTCGATCCAACAGATATAGAGAAACTTGAACCCCCCTAAATGTGGGTAGACACTCCCAAACAGATTGAATCTGGCGTCCAGTGTAGTTTAAATCTTGATTCCATGATAAATGTTACACGATTCTACATGTAATGAAACTCGTTTAGTCAGGGTTTTGACTTTTGAATTATCTACCGTATAAAACGTTGGTTTCTTGTAAATAATAACCACGAAAGTAATGTTTTGTTTTCTAGTGGATGTCATTAGGTGGCATGTGTAGTAGAAGGGGGTATTATTATTTATAAAACATGTATTTTAGAAGGAATTTAATGAGATTGTGGTGCTTTTTTTAGTTATCTTTATTATGTTTCTTATATTCTTCTTTAACTTGTTCGTAGTTATGTGAATTGCTTAAGTGAACATGCACCATGTCTTGTCTTGGAACATTGCTTAGTGTTGTACTACCAATTGCCAAATGGTTATTAGTAATGTTATTTTTACTTTTTTTTGCCTGATTTAAATTCCTATAGAATAATGTTCCTTATATTTGCGGTGATATAAATTGCCTTGGTTTCTAAACTTGCTCATATGTTATGTCAAATTATTTAAATGGCCATAGAATAATGTTTCTTATATTTGCGATATGTAAACGGCCTTTGTTTCTGAATCTTGCTCATATGTTATGTGAAAAGACTGCTTAAGTGATCTTACACCATGTGTAGCCTCGCGACATCGCTTAGTATTTGAATACTGAATGTAAAGTGGTTATTACTAATGCTAACTGAATTTTTTCGCTTCTAATTTAAATGCTTATAAAATATTGAAACCATTTATTAATATATAAAGCAACAAACATGGACTGATAAATAAAACTCTAGAATTTATGCATTGTGTAATAAAAAAAAGTTACAATACTTCATAATAGAAAGTGAGAGAGAGATAGAGAGCGGGGAAGGGGAGGAGGAGGGGGAGGGTGCCTATGACTTGTTCTTTCTTCACTCTTTTGAGTTGCTGCGAGGAGCTTTTGTGTAATGGTAGAAGATATTGGAGGAACTCGAACTGTAGTAGACGATGGAGACACTCTTGGGGTGGAATATGATGGTTGCACTATTGGGGCGGTGCTTGGTGAAGTCTGGCTGAGGACGCGCTTGATGGTACCTTCAGTTGCCAATACATTGGGTTGGCTTGGAGTACTAGGTGGCTCTCTTGAAGTACCCGATGGAGTGACAGATCCCAAAGGCACTGGAGACACAACTCTGTCGTCATCAACATCGAGGCATGCATCCAATGATTCGAGAGCCACTATGTCATCCTCGAGGTGAGCATCTTCTGGATGAGAGTCCCAATTCTTCTCTTTCTCTTTGTAGTCCGCTCGCAATCTACTCAACAGTCTGTCATTGTAATGAACATACACTAATGATTCAGAACGATCCGCATTCAGCCAATTTCGTTTAACATTGTATATGTGGCTATACGTGCTCCAACATCTCTCTATACACAAGGAATTAACACTTTGTGACAACACCTTCACCGCAATTGCATGCAATTCTGGAGTACCACCACCATACATGTCCCACTATGACATTGCTTCCATAGAACTCGTATCAGCAATAGATGGGGAGAGGGCGAAAACCCCTTTATTTCCAAGGAAATCACCAATTTGTTGCCGCACCCTTCCTCATTCCATATCATCTGGAATCAGTGCATCAAGGGCTGTGTGGTAACATGCAGAAATTTCTGTGTCCTGGTGGGATTTCATCCTCCTTTCACCCCCAGGTGCTGGTGTAGCCAACCACTCTCGTGAATAATACTTAGAACTGAGAAGGAATGCCAAACAATGCAACGGAAGATTTGACCGGTCCCAATGAGCACCCTTTGAAATAACACAGAATCATCATATAGAGCCACCGCAATTTCCCCCAATATGGTATCCATGCGCTTGTATGCATCTCCCACGGCAACTCTGTCGCTATCAGCAAACTTTATTGTCTTCCATATTGGCCTTGTAAAAGACAATATCAATTTATTCATCTTCCAAAATTCATCGTCCATGATAGTATCACTTATGATACCATGTTGGTTATTTGATGTGCCTCGTTTCAAACCTTCCCACTCATTACCCAACACTAAAGATGTCAAGGCGACTCTCACTTCCATCAATCTTCTTAGCATGATATAGTGATACCCGAACCTCGTCTTCTTAGCCTTAAGAAGTTCTAAATTAGAATGAGTCTGAAAAATGTACAGACATCTTTTATGATTACGAATGTACTTTACCACTGATTTTGCCTGCTTACAATTCTTGCGAACGAAAGCAAAAGATGAGTTTCTCTTATTTTTGTCAACAATAGCCTTCATTAGCAGACTCAAAGTATGAGTCAAGCAACCCGACCAAAAAATGTGGGAATGACGGTGTTGAATTATAGTACTTGCACCTTTGCAATTGGCCGCATTGTCGGTTACGACTTGAACCACATTATACGGTCCAATCGACTCTATGGCTCTTAAAAGGATATCGGCAATCACTTGACTAGTCTTTTCAACTGATGAACAATCAAAGCTATTAATGAACATGGCCTTCCTAGCTGATACGGCCATGACATTAATCAAAGACTCGTTCTTAATATTACTCCAACTATCAGATACAATGGATACACCATAACTTCCCCACTCACTCCTAACTGCACCCAAAGCCTGATCGATCCTATTTCTCTTTGTCAAGCAATGTTGTTCGAATCCTTTCGTACTTAAGTGCCACATAGCCTTTTGGGCCGTTATTAACAGCGTAAATCATTTCATGGAACCTTGATCCCTTCGCAACATTAAAAGGGATGCCGTGGGCATAAAAGAAACAAGCCACCGCAACATCCACGTCATCTCTTGCTTGAACATTAAATAAATGTGGGATCTTGGCTTGGGTACCCTTTCTTTTTTTCATCAGGACTTTTGGTTTGCACTAATGATGGAAACAATGATGTATCCACCGAACAACCAACATCATTTCTATTTTGGCATTTTCTCACATATAATCTTTGGGCTTCATCCTCCTCAAACTTTAATGCCTCTCGCTCTTCTTTAGATTATTTTGGACAACTTGATATCCCTTATGACCCCTTAACAAATGGTGGTCCTAGAAAAAGGGGTTTCTCTACAATTGAAATTACATGTCCACTTTTTCGTACCACCGCTCCCCTTGCCATAATTGCCTACAACTGTCACGTACTTCCACAATGGAGTGGAAGTAGGCTCTTCGACTTCATCTTCATCCAACACCACAGTCGCATTATCAGACCCCAAAAAATCGGCATACCCAATTTCCTCCTCCATACCAACACCCAAACAAATTAACTTTGAAAACAAGTTTAGAGGTAGAATTAGTTTAAGTATGATGCTTTCTAAAAATCAACATAATAATAATAATAAAAAAACGTAATTTCCATTCTTTCATCCTTGCACAATCGCATTCTCAACCCCCATATCCATCAATATCCATTATTGTCTCCCCATGGATTGAATCTTTCCCTCCCCCCAATTTGGATTGCTCTCTCTCCCCTCAATTTGGATCTGTCTCTCCCCTCAATTTGGATCTCTCTCTCTCTCTCAATGGGTTATAAAACAAAAAGTAATCTATATTAATTGATGACGTCATCATTAAAAAAGTTGATGACATAACTAACAATTTAAGCCACATTAAATAAGAGTCATTGCATGAACAATAAAGTATAACAATAAAGTATAAGTCATGCACATGTAAACCACAAGAGAGTGAAATAGAGAGAAAGGGGATAAAAAGATGTCTGTCAGGCACAAAAAGCCCATACACCATACATATTTGACCACAAAATATACCCAATGTCTATGTGGTACGAGTAGCCCATGCAAAAGTATAGATCTCCATCAAATTTCATAAAAACCTGAAAAGAGGAGGCCAAGGGGAATGACATGAACCAAGAGTAAGCCAAAAAAGTCCCACAATTCATGATTGATGCTTAAAAATACCCCAAAATACCCAATCAAAGGTTAGAGGTTCGCCCAAGTACCCACACTCCCCACCCAAAAAACAATGCCCGAATAACACAAGTCCATAACGCCCTAAAACATTGTTAGCCTAACACAAATATGGGTTACATGGAAAAAATAGAAAGAGGCTAGTAGGTCCGACCTACTGATCCTCTTCCATTAACCTATGGACGGCCCCACTTGTTTCACCTTGCTCACTAAGGAGCGGTCGGGGACAAACGGGCATGGCACTTGTGCGATCAACAATTGAGCTTGAAGAAATATCGAAGTGGGCATCACGAGCAACCCCAAAAGAAGATGTCAACTGCTCTAACTGGGAGGTTAGGCTTAAAATCTCATGCTTTAAAAGTGATATTTCTTCGTTCGCTCATTGGGTATTGGCAACTTCTTCCACTAGCCTAGCAGTTAAGTTTGTATTTTCAGACTTAAGGTTTTCTTCAGGAGTTGGGTCAAACCCTACAACTTTAGCGTAGATATAGGCTTCTTTGGCTGCAGATTGCTCTGTCGCCTTTCTTCTAAAGCATTGCCCACCATTAAAGGTGCGCTCCCTAACAACTACAGATGCCCTAAAAATACGACATTGAGGGGTCCTTGAAATTTCTACGCTATAAACTGGTAAAGAGGGGTCCTCCTCGTTTTGCGATTCCTCTTGGAGAAGATTTTCGAAATAGGGTGGAATTGGTTTGGGTTGCCGTGGTCAGCGAGCCCGACGGCGAGGACGAGATGGCCCAATTGACAAGGCTGCATTGCGAAGATTTTCCATTGTACCTAAAAAAAAAAAGGGCCAAACCAATAGGGTTCTCTATAATGAATATTTAAAAATTAACAAATACCTTGTGATATATGCATTAACATGCAAATATCTCGGGGGCTACCTCAGGTAAGCTCTGAGATACTTGCAATTGCAATTAAATGCATATACAACAAGGTATAATACAACATGCATGAATCCGAAAAAAAAGCTATCAAACCAGCACAAAAGATACTAAACAGCCAACAAGACATAATATACTAACAAACCAACATATCAAATAAACAGTAATAAAGCGGTCTCACACTCTTGAGTTATTAAGAAACAATAATAAGCATCGCACATTAAGTAAACAGTCCTAGTCCTCAAGTGAAAATTGAGGGGCTGCAAACACTCTAGTATTGGTAAAAAGAGGAGCCGAGCTCCTCAACTTAGTCCTCTAGAACCTTGGCACCACGTACAACAGCCTGCACTTCTACGGCGTTCTTATTAAGCCTCACACTAAGTACATTTAGATGCCGATTGAGGCGCTCATAGTCCTCGTCAAGACGACGATTGAGACATTCAAACTCTTCCCAGAGGCGCATGAGATCTGCTAAATAACGATCAAACCTCAAGATATAGACCTCAGTTTTCTGAATGAGGTCCTCAGCCTTTTTGACCCATGAAGGATGTCCATCATTTGCGGGAATTTCCATATTCTAGTGTTCAACAAAAGTCAGAAAACATCACAAGGCAAAGAATAACATTAAACCAAAAAACAAGGGACATGTTGCCTATTTTTCTTCATCATAAGAGTGGTTCTACAATCTTCTACTAAAGTCCCTCTTAAGAGAATTCATGACTCACATTCCTAGAGAATGTTATCCTTATTGTCATTGTTCAGCCTACTTAACTGAGAAATTGACTAACAAACATAACGTACCATGTTAGAGGGAAATGTTTTGCAGTATACTGAACTTTGATAGTGACTCTAACAAAACCAATACTTTTCATGAGTGATGTATTATGATTAGAAACGCCAAAAAGACATTTGCATTAAGGGCCACGTCATAATATTTCAAATCTATCTAGTTAGAATTGCAAAAAAAATACATTGCATTACACAATACTTAATTCGAATTGAAATAAAACACTACACAGATTGTTAACCAGTACCAAAAAGCAATAGATACATAAAATGAGAAACACAATACACATTAGCAATTAAAAATAAAAAACCATAACTATTTCAGGATATTACGGCTCAGGAAATTGAGTCGATAGAATACAATTTCATTCATGAAAAATTTCACTCTTTCCAAATTAAACATCTCGGCCAAATGCTTTAGAAAAAACCAACGACAGAGGCCATGCCAAACAAAAGAACAAAACTAAAAGATGCAAAGCCCATGGTGATAGTTGATACAGACTGTATAAGAGAGGTATGAAAATTTGCAGTTCTAACAGAAGGATTCTTGTGACAGCACTATAAAGGAGATGAAAGGAAGCAAAGTATTGAGTCCAAAACAAAAACGACAAGCTCATATGCATTACACAAGAGGTAAACTATACCACAGATCTCTTAAGCAATTTTCTCACTTATAAAACAAAATACACGTGATATATGTTTACCACTATCACATTTTTTTTTAACAAAACCTCACCACAGAGAGCCATTCAAGATTTTTCACTCTAAAAAGACGCAATAAACATGATATTATTCTCCCATATCACAAATTTTTTTATACAAAAAAAAAAAAACCACAGCATAGAGCCATTAAGCATTTTTCTTACTCCATAAAACCAAATCCACATGATATTTTATACCCCTAACACTTTTCTTTTTTATTGAAAGATTGCTCTCTTTAAAAAACCCATTAAAGATTACAAAGAGATCACTCACGGAGCCTTACCACAGAGATTACTCAAAAACATTTTCGAAAAAGAAATAAAGCGTTACACAGAGATTACTCACAGAGCCTAACCACAAAGATTACTCTAAAACATCAAGAAATTTTTTATACAAAAGAAATAAACCATACTCTAAAAAAAACCCAATAAACGTGATATTGTTCACCCATCCACATGATAATCTATACCCCTAACAAGGCATACCTTAAGGATGTGGTGCTGCGGTTGCGTCCACCTTCTGCACTCCGGTGAAACCCTGAAAATGGTGTTGTAAGGGTTGCTTCGACGCTTTGCACTATGGTCTTGAGAGATAGATAGAGGAGGGGCGGTGGTCTCTTGAGAGAGGAACCGATATGGGAGGGGTGGTTGTCTCTTGAGAGAGAGATAAAGGAGGGGCGGTGGTCTCTTGAGAGAGAGATCGAGTCTCAAGAGATAGATAGAGGAGGGTGGTGGTCTCTTGAGAGAGAAGAAAAAATGGCGCGATAGAGAAGGTAGAAGGGAGACGTGATTGAAATGATGGATGGGGGTTTTATCAAGGCATGAAGAGGGAGGGGCATGAGTGAGAGAGATTTTGAAAAGATTTTCATGATGGCTTCATTAAATGAAGCAATCATGTAATATATAGACAGATTGGGTCGTATGGGTTTGATCGAGTCCGATCAGTGTTCAGATTTTAGACCCAATTCGATAATATTAAATTTAATATCAGTAAGACCCAAGTCGATAATATTAATATTTAAATATTAATATTTTATTTTATTATTATATAATATTTTATCAAAAATATTACATATTATAATACACTACCGGGTCGTATGGGTTTGATCGGGTCGGATCAGTTCTCAGACCCACTTTGATAAATTAGATTTAATACTAGTATGACCCAGATCGATAATATTATAATATTTAAATATTAATATTTTATTTTAGTATTATTATATTTTATCAAATATATTACATATTATAATACACTATTGGGTCGTATGGGTTTGATCAGGTCAAATTAGTTCTCATACCCAATTCGATCAATTAGATTTAATATTAGTAAGACCCAAATCGATAATATTATAATATTTCAATATTAATATTTTATTTTATTATTATATTATATTTTATCAAATATATTACATATTACAATACACTACCGAGTCGTATGGGTTTGATCGGGTCAGATTAGTAAGTCTGTAGGGGAGCTACCGGATTGTGGACTATGGAGTAGCGATTCACTCTATCCATGGGTGTCCAAGCCACATGACCTACAATTAGTGTATGAGACACTATACCAGTGGACTGTAATTACAGTGTCATATTTCCCATCATCTATTGTACACTTTAGGTCTCTAGGGGAGCTAACCCGACTGTGGACTATGGAGTAGTGATCCACTCTATCCATGGTTGTCCAAGCCACATGAACTACACTTGGTGTATGGGACACCATACTAGTGGACTGTAATTACAGTGTCATATTTGCCATCGTCTATTGTACACTTTTGGTCTGTAGGGGAGCTAACCGGGCTGTGGACTATGGAATAGTGATCCACTCTATTCATGGGGTGTCCAAGCCACATGAACTACAATTGGTGTATGGGACACCATATCAGTGGACTGTAATTACAGTGTTATATTTCCCATCGTCTATTGTACACTTCAGGTCTGTAGGGGAGCTACCGGACTATCTTTACATTCCACGATCCCTTACTATAGTGTAGAGCACATTTATTGTAATCCTAGACCTGTAGAATCCCTAAGCCTTGGAGAGTCTTGAATACCTTTACATTCCATGATCCCTTACTACAGACTAGAGCTACCGGACTACTTTTATAAAGGGCTCGTAGGGGCCAACATGGTTAGCCTTAACATTCCAATATTAAATAGAAATCAGCGTGGGATAGATATACTTGTAAACAACGTGGCATAAAACACGTCATTAGGAGCATTTAATTTGTTAAATGCTCAATATTTTCCCAACTTTAGATATAAAACCAAAGCTTAATATGTTATTATCATTGTTTCACGGTTCACCATAGGGACTACAATTTTAGGTGGACTTGGTGACCATAACAAAACTTGGTGGTACATCAGCACATCACCACAAGTTGCTAATTATTAACTATGGGATCTTATCAAGTTTTCTGTTATTATTAACTATAAGTTATGGGTTATTATAATGGTTGGAACTTGAAACACAATAAATGCTCATCATTATCCCACTAAACAATAAGCTTTAGTTTGGTTGTTGTGGATTATTATCCATGGTCCATCACCTCACCACAGGGACTATTGATTTTAGGTGGACCCATAGCCGTCAATAAATGTGTGGTATGGCAATTTTATAACTCACACGTGAATGGCCATAAAAGGTAAACGGTAAAGGGTAAGGGTAAAATCACAATATTCGTCATTATTAAGTTTTTAATGCAAAAATCTCATGCAATCTCTCAATTTTTACCTCTTCCTCTCTCTCTCTTTACGTGGATGGTAATTTCTCCCTCTCCCTTTCCCTCTCTTTAGGTGGATGGCTCTTGAGCCTGCCACATGTATCACAATTTGAAGGTGTACAATCTCTCTTTCACCCCCTCTCAACATTTTCACCCCCTCTCAACAGCTCCCTTGCATCTCTCTCATCAACAAATCCTTCTCTCTCACAACCTCTGTCCTCTCTCGCCCTCTCTCTCTTGCCTCTCGCCACCACCTATCTCTCTCCCTATGGCAAAATACATCGACCTACCTGTTTTCTGCCCCATTTTACAGAGAGCTTATGAAAAATACGGCTTCCACTTCAATGACATTATCATGTTTCCATGTGATATGTAATACAACAATATAAATGTTATATATAATATTAAATTAATATAATAATTATATAAGATATATGATATTTATTATAATATGAGAATGATTATATATTATATAATATAGAAATATAAATATTATATATAATGTTTATTTAAAACTTGTACGTGAATTTATGAAGGACTCATAGGGCCTAATATGATTAACCTTAACTTTCCAATATTAAATAGAAACTAGAATGGGATACCGATACCGTCCAATTTCATTAAAGCAAAAAAGAACCATAGCACCGAGAGAGACACCTGTAATGGAATTCTGTTTACTAAATTAGTATAATAGGAAAATGCGCACGCACGTCAAGTACATTCTCACATGCATTGATGGTAAGGCCTACTCATTTTCATAACCTTTTCTCCTGGTTCTCATGACTTAAATGGTTGAAGCCTACAAAAGGCAAGCAACGCTCACTATGAACTTATAAGGCCTAATCATTTTCACTACCTTTTCTCCTCATTCTCGTATCTTAAATGATTGAAGCCTACAAATGGCAAGCTAGAGTATTACTATTAGTAGTCTGACACTTCGTTTTTTCACAACCTTTTCTCTTCATTCTCGTAACTTAAAAATTGAAGCCTACAAATGGCAAGCTCCAGTATGGTTAATGATTTACTCTCAACGCAAGGACTATTCATGCCATCAAAAAATTCGATGACATGGTCAATCGTAATCATGAGCATTTAATATTTTCCCAACTTTAGAATCTTATTGGGTTGTCATGGTTCATACTCACCATAGGACTACAATTTTAGGTGGACCCAGTGACGATCACAAAATTGGTGGACATCATCTTGAGTTGGTTACTATTAACTATGCTATCTTATCAAGTTGTTTATTATTAACTATGGGTTACATGTAGGATTACTATTTTTAGTGGTACGGCAACACAATAAATGCATATCATTATCTCACTTTTCAAATCATTATCCTACCTTTTCAAAAGTGTGTGAAAGTGTGAATTAGGTTATTGGATTCGAACAACTAAGTCGAGTTTGGTTGTTATGGATTATTATGCATGGTCCATCACCTCACCATAAGGGCCATTGATGTTTGGTGGACCGCCCCGTCAATAATTTTGTGGTGGATGGCAATAAAAACATATTTTAATGATCTTGAGTATAAAGGTTATGTACAAGTCTCGATTAATAGAATGTTAAAATATATTTACCCAATCATAATCGCCTATGTCGATTAATACAATGTTAAAATATATTTACCCAAACATAATCGCCTATGTCGGTAAGGGTAAAATATCATTAAAGGTCAAATCGAAAAAATCCATAGGTCATTATTAAGTTTTATATGAAAGAATCTCATAAAATATTATCTTGCTAGTACAATATCCCAATTTATCAAATCCCACTCATTGTCTCCCTCTCTCTTTCCCTTCCCTCGCCCTCTCTCTCTACGTGAATGGCTTTTAAACCTACCACGTGCGTCACTATTAAATCTATGATGTACCGTGGCCTCTACCCTATCACCCTCTCTCTCTCTCTCCCCCAAAACTCCTTTAAGTTGTAGAGGAAAAACTAGATTTGGGACTACCCTGCCCCTCACAAACTCCTTCAGAGATTCATAGACTCAGAAAAATCATCAATATTTGCTTTAAAGGATTTGATTCTTATTGAGGAGAAAAAATGATGAATTGTTTATCATTTCTTCCGTTCCATTTTGTTCTCTATTGATGTTACTCTTTGATATTAATTGGAGACAAATTTCAAAATCAGAGGGAACAATGTTTTCACTGGATTTGTAGAATCCATCACTAGCTGGTTTTCTTTTGCAAGTAAATTGCTAGTC